GTATAGTTGAATCCATCCCTTGAGTTCACCGTCATGTAAAATGGTCTGCAATTATTCTTACATGCAGTGCTATTTCACTTTCAGCATGTGTATGTGCATGTCGGCACATGCTATGTTATGTGTTATTTATAAATACATAGCCCTACTCATGGAAACAGCCTCTCTACTTCCAAGTAGGGCCAGTAGGGGTAAGGCCTGGGTACACTCAGCCTCCCCAGAGCCTTTCTTGTATGAGATTTTACTGGATTTGTTGTTCTTGTTACATATGCCCACTTGCACCAATAAGCAGTTTCTTGTACTATTAATAAGTTCTTCCTGCAGAAGTACACAAGCCTTTAATATTACTTCCAGTCATGCTTCAACATCTTTTATTGGGATTCTATTTCTAATAAATTGTAATTTTTATGCATTCCTCCCAGCAAAGCCTGGTAGCACTGAAGAGTCTGAAGGTGAGGGGACCCGCCATTTCATGGTGAATGTCATTGAACCACAATTTAATCTTCATTCAGAAGATGCAAATGTGAGTTGTTTGGCTAGCTGTGATATGCACACTGTCTGAAAATATCTCATTGTTCAGAATGGAATACTTTTGTTACATCCACAGAATAGTGTCTTTTTAATTAATCTCTCATGTCAGCTTATAGCCAGTGCTGCCTTTGTCAAACCCTTAGTTGTGTTAGCATGCTCAACAACTGGGGGAATCTGAAGCACCACTTCAGTAAGCTATCTCATAAGAAACTTTAGTGAACTGGTCTTGAGAGGGTGAACATGTTTTACTTGATGTTGTTCAATTACTATCAGATGATTGTAGTTGGGTGCTTGTTCCTGTTGTGTTGTTGAACTGACATTGCTTCAATGCATACAACAAGTTTTACTTGTCCAAATGTAACTTTTTTAAGCCTGCTGAATGAGTTAGGAAATTCATGTTGCATGATAATTTGTAACAATGGACTTGCAGTGCTAATTTCATGCCAATGCTGTATGACCTTTCCTATTCCTCTTGCAGGGTAGGTTTTTACTTGCAGCTGTTAGCGGTCGTGTTTTAGCCCGTTCATTCCATTCAATTCTTCATATTGGCCAAGAGATAATTGAACAAGCACTTGGTGGAAGGAACGTTCAATTCCCTGAATCTCAACCAGAATTGACATGGAACCGCATGGAGTTCTCCGTGATGTTGGAGCATGTTCAAGCTCATGTCGCTCCAACGGATGTAGATCCGGGGGCTGGACTTCAGTGGCTTCCTAAAATCCGTAAAAGCTCACCGAAAGTGAAAAGGACTGGAGCATTACTTGAAAGAGTTTTTATGCCATGTGACATGTATTTCCGCTATACAAGGTATAAAGGTGGTACTCCTGACTTGAAGGTATGGCTGGTATGCTTTATATTTCTTTGTGAACAGTACGAACTCCTTCATATGGTTACATGTAGTGCACAAGTTCTGCTTGGCTCTTCATTTCAATGTAGGATAATATGTAGTAATTTGTGTTGCAGGTCAAGCCCTTAAAAGAGCTTGCTTTCAATTCTCATGATATTACAGCAACAATGACATCTCGTCAATTTCAAGTTATGCTTGATGTGCTAACTAATCTCCTCTTTGCTCGGCTTCCAAAGTGAGTGTATATCATTTACCTTGATTGTTTCTATCTTCTACAGGATACCAATAGTTTTTTCATTAAGTGCTTTGCGTTATGCTATATCTTGCTCAATCATGAAAGTTTTCTGAAACAAAGAGAGGTGTACTCCTTAGGATACACTCTCATGGGTCGCAAAAACCAAGTAAAAGCTATCGAAAGTGGCTTCAAGCCTTCAATTTTTTTTTTCTGTGTAGCTTTGATGAACCAAAAGTTCATGACATTGACAAATATGTTTTCTCTGACCCTCTATCTAATTCATGAGAGTGATAAAACAGGGTTTCCTATGGTTTTAGCACCTCAAGGATGTCCTTTCGATTGCAAAGTGACAAGACTAATATAATTGGTTTACTAGTGTGTGGACATAGTGACAAACACTTGAATGAAAAACTACAACTTTCTGTGATAACTTTTAGCCCTAAAGAGATTTGAAAACCTTATTACTAAAATTAGGAATTCCTATGTTTCCATTATATATATATATATATATATATATATATATATATATATATATATATATATATATATATATATATATATATATATATATATATATATATATATATATATATATATATATATATATAGACACACACACACACACTTTATTAAAAGAGAGAGGAGTCAAGTGGTTGCAAACATGATGGAGAAAAAGAGAGAAAAAGAAAACACCGAAAATCAAAAATGAAAACTAAACGCTTTCCATTTCTGCAGAAGTCCTTGATCCCCCACGTTGTGAAGTCTTCAGCCTTAATGAGCCATTTCTTGTTCTTGTTTACCCAACACCAGCCTTGAATTTGTTTGAAGCAAAGTTGGATAATGCCCTTTGGTTGGATCTTTCTATTCATAAATGAATGCATTTCTTGCTTTCCAAATTTTCCAAGCGATAACCCCTGGCAGAATTAGTCGCATACAACTAGACCGGGCAAAAAATGACCCGACCTGTTTTTGACCCGAAACCCGACCTGAAAACACTAGGTTTTGAACAAAGGTTTTGATGACCGAACCCGAAGTTGACCGAATCTGAAATGACCCGCTAAAAATGGGTCTAACTCGACCGAGCCCGAACCCAACCTGACCCACCCGCTAAAGTAAGAATTTTTCAAAATTATACACTTTACTACTCGTTTTTAGTGTATAAATTTATATTTCCAGACAAAAGTTTAATGATATTGCATAATTAGCTTACTTTTTGCAAAACTTAAGCATTTTTGAATTCCTTATATTGATTTATATATCTAAAAATTACTTCAGAGTTTAAAATAAAATAATTTTATAGATTTAATACATTTTTTTGATATTTTAAATTTATTTACTATAAAATGTAAGTGTTAATTTGAATTTAAAAATTTTAAAAACCAAAGTCATAACCCGTTGGGTCGACCCAAACCCGATGACACTGGGTCATGAACATACAGTTCTCAACCCGAACCCGAATTGACCCGAACCCGAAATAACCCGAACTTGAAGTGACCGAACCCGACCTGACCGACCGATTTGCCAGTTCTACAGACAACCTTTGATGTTCTTCTCATTTTGAGTAACCCGCCAAGCTATCATATGCTGATAAAGAGTTAGACCCTGCCGTATAGAGGGGCCCATAACAAAGGAGCTAAAGTAGTGCCAAACTTGTTTAATAAGGGAGAAATGAAGTAGGGAGTGGTCCAACGAGTCTTAACAATACAAGTTAGTCTATCATGAGTCTTAAGAGCATTGCTGTACTGCAATCCTCCCAATTGGGTTTACTTCAAAATTCAAATACACACACGCACATATTAACAATACAAGTTCACCGGATTAATGACGTTGGGGTTTGATGTGCACTAAATTGGTACTTTTGACTAGAGCTAGAGCTAGATCTAGAGCTACATGTTTAGGGTTCTTTTTTTTGTTATTTAGCTGCAGTACACACCCTCCACAAACCCTACTTTTTGTGGGATTCTACTGGGTTGCTGTTGTAGCTGCTATAGTCCTGCAGTTCCCAAATTGTATATGCTGCATACATGTGCCTGTTCTTTTCCCAATCCGGTTTACTTCAAATTCCACTAACAAAATTGGGATCAAGTGTTTGTAGTTGTTGGTCTGGGTCTTTTCCATATTTCTATCTAAAATTGCTACAACTGAAATATAATCATGTTAAAAATTCAGGCCTCGAAAAGTTAGTCTATCATGTCCCACTGATGATGATGATGATGTGGAAGAGGAGGCAGATGAAGTTGTTCCAGATGGTGTGGAAGAGGTCGAACTAGCAAGGATCAATCTCGAAGAAAAAGAACGCTTCCAAAAGCTAGTCCTGGATGATATCAGGAAGTTGTCTTCTTGTAGCGATGTTTCTCGAGATGGATTTTCAGAAAGGGAACATGATCTGTGGATGGTAACTGGTGGAAGGTCCATTTTGGTAAGATAACATCATTCAAATGTTTGAAGTGTTTCTCCAAAGTTTGTGTTATTATGAGATATTGCTCCTTTCTTGTTAAGCTAATTGGGAAATGCCTAGATATTCTTTCTTCCAAGATCTGTAATAATCTCTACCAGTCGGCATGCTGTGCCTCTAGTTTGTATTGCTGTGGCTTTGCAGTACTGCAATGCTCTTAATATCAAACTTTGCATCTCTGAAGCCTAGATTTGCATGCAGTTCATAATTTTTTTGAGAGGAAGTCTTCATGATTTTATAGTTAAAGAGTTAGTGACAACTTATTTCAATTGTACTTTTCTAGTTTTGTGAGTGTGTGTGTGAAACGAGAGTCCTACACATTGGTCGTTTCAAAAATGATATTTATAGAAGATATTCTAGATTGAGATCCTGATTTCCAAGCTCTATTATTCTTTCATTTGTATATTTGTGCAACCCTTGTGTATCTTCATCATTATAAAATTGTGTATCCTTATTTCACAGGTGAAAAAACTGAAGAACGAGTTAGTTATTGCCCAGAAATCTAGAAAAGCTGCATCAGCTTCTCTAAGGTTGGCCCTGCAAAAGGCTGCACAACAACGGTTGATGGAGAAGGAAAAGAACAAAAGTCCTTCATGTGCTATGCATATTTCTTTGCAGATTAATAAGGTTGTTTGGAGCATGCTTGTAGATGGGAAATCTTTTGCAGAAGCAGAAATAAATGACTTGGTGAGGTTTTCATATCTTGGGTCTATATTGGTTCTCCCAACTAAGTAAAATTTCCACAGAGACTGCACATTTAAATTGCACATTGCACATAGCCTCACATTGCTGCGTATTCATAATTTGACCAACAGCAAGTTTAGATTTGCTTATGGCTATCACTTGATTTTGTTTCACTTGTATGCAATCTTATATTTGCTTATGTCTATATATCTCTATATTCCATTACTAATTTCAATATGCTGCCTATACATAATAATTTTCTTGCGTAGTAATGTGGTATATGTTATTGCAAATTTAATGTGAAATTACATATTCAAGTTTGGTAACAAGATTCAAATACTATTTAATGCATTTAGCTGTACATATGCATATTATATGTGGCAATTTATTGAATTTGACTTAGTGAAAATGGTTGTATGAGCCATGAAGTTACTTTGTAGGTTAAAATGCAAACAACAAACCTGACTAGGATGTCTATATACTCCAGATTTAATTGAGACGAAAAAGAATGATGGGATATTGTTATCTTCTTTTTGAGGCAAGGAGTTCTTAAATAAACTAATTGAATAGAGCAATGCAAGCACATCCTCCTCCTGGAATTCCCTGTCTTAACTCTCTCATGCATGGTTAAAAATGAGGTGTGTAAACTCTTTGTCGTTTGTATAGGAAATACATGGTAAAAATGGTGTTTTTTCTGGATGCAGATATATGATTTTGACAGGGATTATAAAGATGTTGGCGTTGCTCGGTTCACAACAAAATACTTTGTTGTAAGAAACTGTCTGCTCAATGCCAAGTCTGATATGCTTCTTTCGGCCTGGAGTCCTCCTCCTGAATGGGGAAAGTATGATGCATGTCCATTTCATTTTATGTCTTCTTTCATGTTCTAAACAAGCATTTGCATTTAAGAGAAGCTCCAAAAGAGCTCCATCCCTCTATGAACTCAAGGAAAATATGGAGTGCATTAGTGATGGCTAGGGTAGGGATTAAGGGGAGAATAGAAAGGAAATCAGATTTTGTTTGTGTGTTAAAAAGTAGAATTTGAATCATATGCCCGAGGCCGCCTCCACTGAAGGGAGGGGTATATTGAGGGAGATACCAGCGCTGGGATAGCCCATGGGCTACGAGCTACGGTGTGGGCCAAGTGCGACATGATTGACCGAACAGAAGAAAGTGAGTTACACATAAGCAACAAAGGCCTAAGTACAGCTAGTGTGCCAAACTACATGAGTGGCAAGTTTGAATACACTGACCAACTAGAGTAGCGTGGTCGTGTATGATTAGTCTAACCGTGGTCGGGGAGGACAAGCACTTGGTCATGTGTTGCGGCATCTCGAGCCCATATTCTTTGAGCTCAATGTCTCAGTCATGGTCCAAGCACATTTATGGTAGGCCTAAGGGTCGGGTCCAACTTATCCATGGGTTAGTATTTTTTTTAAATGTAGTAATCCTAACAAGTGTTAAAAAAAAAAATCAATTATGTTTGAAGAATACTAGAGGTTTCTTCGATTTTATTTATATAAAAAAATATTTAAATATACAATAAAGTGCACATTTGTGCGAGCCCACTACCACTATTCACGATAATTAGGGTTATGATATTAATCTATTTGACATATAATGTGGGATATTGTTACAAACAGAGTTATTTGGGAGAAGGTCGAAACTCTGTGGTGGAGAAGTTAACAGGAGTGCAACTTCGATAATTCAGTCATGTAATGAGAAGAGGTGCAAATGCACCAGTTACAAGGTGCGAGAGTTTAAAGGATGCATGAGCTTTGGAAAAGAACTTAGGGTTTTTAGGAGAGATTATTAGGCAGGATATGGCTAATCATAAGGTGACTGAGGGCATGTGTTAGATACAAAGTTTTGATGGTCACGGATTAAGAAAGATGGTAGTTAGTAGTTTAGTCCATCACATTTTTGCTCGTTTTGCGATTTCCTAGGGCACGCATAGGCGTTTATTCTTGGTGTACTAGAATGTGTTGACCCTGTGGTAGTGTACTAATGTATGCTTGTTGATTTCGTTTTATTTTATTGTAGTTTCTTACTTTCTAGCTAACTTTGACGGGTGGAGGTAAGCTCTGCATACATTCTACCCTCCCCAAACCCCACTAACCCACTTGTGGGATTATACTGGGTTTATTGTTGTTGGACCCCATAAACCTTTATCTAATTGTTTTCCCATATTTGTTTCAGTTTTCTTTACAGTTAATGGGTAAAAAACTAAAAGAATTTAACATTTTTAATGTTGCAGAAAAGTTATGCTTCGTGTAGATGCAAAACAGGGGGCTCCTAAAGATGGGAACTCCCCACTTGAACTCTTCCAGGTATTTGGCCCTTCTTTTACAAGACAAAGTGATGTGCCAATCACAATTATTTCTGATGTACCATAAAATGATAATATGACATATATGCTGGTTTTGTCTAATATATCTATCAAATTTTGAAATATCCATGTTTTGGATTACTATCCAGATGAACCATGCCCCTCAAGGGCCTCAATCTCATCATATTCATTACTCCATATTTTTTGGGGTGGCCGTGTGATATAAGAGGGATTGTGTGTGCTCATCTGTTTTTTTTTCCTAGGTGGACATTTACCCCTTGAAAATACACTTGACCGAGACAATGTACAGAATGATGTGGGAATATTTCTTCCCAGAGGAGGAGCAAGACTCCCAGCGAAGACAGGTTGGCATAAATGTCCAAACTAAAGAGTCATGTTAACACAACATTATAACAATCTTTTTTCAATTGTTTGCTACATGTACAGGAAGTTTGGATTTCAACTACTGCTGGTTCAAGGCGTGCAAAGAAAGGTTCATCAACACATGAAGTTTCTACCGGTCATTTGGGTAAAGATATGCAGGTCTTCTCTAAATCAAGTACCTCTGTGCCACCATTTACAGGTGGAACTTCTCAGTCTTCATTTGGTGATGTGGCAGAAGTGAGTAACTGACTCTAAATTCAACGTATTTTTATTACTTATCACTTATTCCCGAAACAGGTCTAAATTTAACTAGAAACAGATTAGACTTTAATTCAAAGTGTATATTAAACTAAAATGAGTACGTCTTTTACCCTTGTTGAAAACTTTGCTTCATGTTGCAATTTTCAATGTAGTGTTTCAATGTGTGAGGTGTTTACTGTATTAGCATTCATTATTTGCTGTTTTTTCTTAGGCATCAAAGTTGCAGCACTTAAATACAAATATTGTGTCTGGGGTAACACCACAACTGCGACGGACATCTTCCTTTGATAGAACATGGGTGGAAAGCGTTGCTGAGTCTGTAACTAATGAACTTGTTTCAAAAGCTCAGTCTTCTGATATATCGTCATCTTTGGCAAAATGTGAGCCAAAGGCAGCATGTATTGAGCAGCAGTTAGATGATGCATCTTCTAAGAGTAAGTCTAAACTTGTCAAATCAGGTCGCTACTCTCAAGAAGAAAAAAAGACAGGAAAGGCTATTGATGAAAAACGATCCAGGCCTAGAAGGATGAGAGAGTTCCACAATATTAAGATTAGTCAGGTTAGTGGTTTGGTTCTTTTGTGTGATCACAATATACTGTTACTTCATCATGTCCTATACAGATAGGCTTGCATTCCATTCTAGCCCATCTTACATAGATAGTCTGATTTCTATCTTGGGTGTTCATTTCATTTTGATTTCAAAGCAACCAACCTTACCATTATTTTACTTTTCATATTTAATGTTCAAAGATACAAGTTATTCATGAATTAACTTAACAAAAGCAAACAGATGATAATTGCATAAAAATAAATCATTCCAACTAGTGTAACAATTTCTTCATCCTTGAATAATTACATACAAGCCTTTGTAGAATGGAAGGAGTAAGTTTTATCACATTGTTGTTGTATATTATTATAATACCATATTTTTTAATGATGAATATGGAATAGGTGGAGTTACTAGTAACATATGAAGGATCAAGATTTGCTGTAAGCGATTTACGGTTGCTGATGGATACATTCCATCGTGTGGAATTTACTGGAACCTGGAGGCGGCTATTCTCACGAGTTAAGAAGCATATCATATGGGGAGTCTTAAAATCTGTCACGGGAATGCAGGTAATCAATCAATCCAGTGTACATCCATTTGGGTTAATTGCACGTACTTTCTCTGAGGATGGTCAAATTACAAAATGACCATATATGTTTCTGAAAATTACAAAGTAGCTCCTTGAGCTGTCAGACTTTCTGCAAAACACTGAAAGATGATATGGTTCAAGTGTATAACAATATTAGTAGGACCAGTTTTTTATCCCAGAGATTATTTTTTCCCAGAGCAGCTTTAAGCATTTTAACTAATAAATTGCCTCAAGTAACACCAAATTCAAATTGAAGACGTATAATTCTTGTTAATATCAGTAATTCAGTATACTCTGTAACCATTCAGTGTTAAAAGGTCATTTGTGTGGGGAAATGCTGTCTTGTAAAGGTGCTTATTTGTAGTTTTCTAAAACATCTAGGATAACCAACCCTCAGTGGAAGTAGATGTAATTAGCACTTCATTCGTCTCCACTATTTTCAAACAATCTGATTGGGGTTTCCTTAACTTCATCATTTGCCTAAATAAGCTCACGACGTGTGCGTGCAGGGAAAGAAGTTCAAAGATAAAGCCCATGTGAGTCAAAGAGACGAAGGTGGTGCAACCGGAGTTCCCAGCATTGATCTTAACCTGAGTGATAGTGATGGAAGAGGTGGTGATGGATCAGCTGGAAAGAGTGAGCAGCAGAACCCGTTGAGCTGGCCTCCAAAGCGTTCAAGTGATGGAGCGGGGGACCGGTTTGTGACGTCTGTGAGGGGACTTTTCAATTCACAGAGACGCAAGGCAAAGGCCTTTGTACTGCGCACGATGAGGGGCGAAGCAGAAAACGAGACAACACATGGTGGTGGGGAGTGGAGCGATAGTGAGGCTGAGTACTCTCCCTTTGCCAGACAACTCACCATTACAAAGGCCAAGAAGTTAATTAGGAAACACACTAAGAAGTTCCGCTCAAGAGGCCAAAAAGGTAAGTTCGTTGTACCCATAGATATATTGGCCTTGTTTGGGAACAACGCTTTCGATAAGCGTTTAGGATCAAATTTTAATGGTGTAGATAAGTTTTGAAAACACTAACGCTAAAGAATACCGTTAGATAGTCTTTTCAAAATGCTAACCTCTAACGCTGATGCCAAACGGGATCTTTCTTTCTTTCTTTTTTTTGCGGGGGTGGTGGGCTCAGTCTTCTCACACAGAAAATTGTTTGTTGAGCAAATCTTTTTGTGCACCATTATCATGTGCAGGTGGCGGTGGCTTATCGTCTCAGCCAAGAGATTCGCTCCCCACGTCCCCAAGGGGCACGCCTTTCTACAGCGACTCTTCAAGTGGGTCCTCACCCCCTTATGAGGATTTCAACGAATAGCCTCTCCCTATCTGCCCGTGGTTTGGAAGTTTCTATTCAATGGAGAAAGAAGAAGATGCCCACTTCATGAGCAAAAAGGAAGCCCCAATCAAGCCATTTGGTATGTGTAAATGAATTTTAATTTCCTATACTCCATAGGTAGTAGTAGTAGTAGTAGTAGTAGTAGTAGTAGTAGTAGTAGTAGTAGTAGTACATAGTACAGCAAAAGTATGGAGACAGAGAGAGAGAGAGAGAGAGAGAGAGAGAGAGAGAGAGAGAGAGATGGGGGAGCTAATTTTTGTAAACACGCACGCGCGCACACAGTGGATTAAAAGTTTAGCCCAAAAGGAAGAAAAGATAAGAGTGAGGTTGTCTTTCTCCCCAATCCTTTCTCTGGCTGTTGCCGCTTTGTGTACATTATGAAGATTACTACCACTAGTAATTTCGAGTATTAAATTATTATTATTATTATTATTATTATTATTATTATTATTATTACTCTATCCGTCCCAAATTAAATTGTCTTCCTTAATCCCAAATTAAATTATCTGTTTCGGTTTACGATGTTTGATGATTGAAAAACTTTAAATTCAATTTATTTGACAATTGGGGTGAAGTTAAAAACATTACAGAGTACATATTTTACATCAAAATTCTATAAAACAAGAGACGACATTACTATTTTTATCGAATGCTCAAATGAGGAACGAAAATAGATAAAGTGATTAAAGTTTGGTTCTAATTTGGGATGGAGGGAGTTACATTTTGTTTTTAATTTTAATTTTTTTTAGATATATACAACAATATTACAAAGTACTCAAATTTTAAAAACAAACAACTCAAAATGTAAAACATTAAAATATGTACGGAGTACAATTTATTTAAAAAAAGTAAGATAACGATACAACATAGTCTAAAACTTGTTCGGAAATATATGTTTACAATACTACTTTATCACAATATATTCCATATTAAAATGTGTAATTTTGAAAAACTCGTGTTAGCATACTTGTCAGCTCGGGTTTGGTTGGGTTTTACCCAATTTTAATGGATCATTTGAGGTTCAGTTATCTTCGAATCCAGTTAACAAAATTTTTGCTCAAAACACGGCATATGGGGTGTGCTTTGTTTTCCTATTAAAGGAGAAGTTCAAATTTTGCTGACTCTACTGATGAGGTTAGATTTCGTGAAAATGATGAATGCTATATACTCCTTTTAAAACCCAATATGAAAGAGGTTTTTTTGACACTTGTATCCAATATTATAATTTGACATGTCATTTTAAGGCACCTATAGTGTGCTCATTTTGACCTCAAAGTTTTTCTTGAGACCTCTTACTCTTCCTGCAAACCTCTTAGGCTCACCCAGCCCCACCTTATTTTCCAATTGCTACCTCTAAATTTTGTTGACATTATGATTACAAAAATTATGTCAACAAAATTTAGGGGAACGATTGCGGGCAGAGAGCATGGTGAAGGATTTGCATGGCAGCTTCGGGTTAGGAGAGTTTGAATAGTCAAATGAACTATTGCAACGTCGAACATCGTTGAATAGTCAAATGGACGAGTGTCTTAATATGACATTGGACATGGGTGTCAAAAGAATCTGGTAACACTTTAATATACTTTTTTGTTTTTACGATAATCTTGTTTGTCAAACAATTTTTAAACAACTTTATTTTTACTTATCTTTTTGTTGAGCGATATTTTAACAATAAAAAAAGTGTGAAATACTCCATACCAAAATATACTCATTCCGTCCTACATTTTTCAGATTTTCCATTTTGTTCGTCATAAATAAAGATTCCATTTTGCAAATTTTTGTGGGCCAGCTCGTTTCACTCATGTACACCTCTTCCAATCAAATAATCTAGAATTTAACTTTTCTGAATGTGGGTTCTATTTTGTATGGAGTATTCTTTTTTTTGGTATTAAACAATTTAGATAAGGGCAAGACTTAATCCACTCCAAAAATTGCTAAATTCACTCCTTTCATCCATCCAAATTTGCTAAATCCACTCATTCTTACAGATTTGATATTTTCCTAACGCGGTGGTTCAGTAGCCACTGACTTACGGAGCCATTTCTGTTGCCACTAACCACCCCCCTAAATCCTAAAATGGTTCCCACCCCCTAACCATCCCCCTAAATCTTCCACCCTAGCCCCTCCCCTTGCCTCTTCCAAATGAGTGACTATTATGCATTTCTCCAAGTGAACCTTTTGAAGATATAGGAAGACTTGCTGACGTACTTATGAAAGAGCTGTAAGGCGATTTTGGAGGTTAATTTCACAATTGTTAATATGAATAGTGTAATTTTGCTGTAAAAGTGGGAAACTGATTCTTTCAGCCATTTAACTATGTTCGTACATATGACAAATTCTGTAGAATGAAAAAATAAAAACTATATCTAATGAAAAAATAAAAACTATATTTACAAAACTAGTGTGACTTGACTATGCTCTTTTATCTAATGACTAATGAAAATAAAGAAAAAAAATGAATAAAATTTGACCGACAACTTAATTTGGGATGAGTAAAATTTAAAGCTTTGCCATGCTCTTCATCTTTGTGGTGTTTCTCTTAAATTAACAAAAATAACCAATATAATTAGGAAAAAATATAGAACTATTATATTACATTATATTTTATAAAAATCTTTAAATAAAATAATTAAAAAAATTAGTATTTCTTTTTGTTTTGCGTAATGTGCAAAACATTTTGAGACAAAGGCAACACTTCTTATATTTTCTCCATCACATATTAAGTTACTTGTTAACAGCATACAAGGTCAAACTTCATTCATTTTTTCTCTATTTTCATCATTCATAAAATAATATAATTATATCACTTCATGTTTCGTAGAACTTTTGATACTCCGCATAATTTTAAATATGTAAAATTTACTTTTCAATTATTATCATCACAATTCTCAAATAAAATGAATTAAAAATAAATTCATTCAAACATCGCAAACCAAAATATACAATTTCACAGGGACAGAGGGAGTGTTGACCTTTTTCACTATTTTTACTTCACTATATTGTACAGCTCACATTCGTTCATTCAACCAGTCTTATTTTTCTTAATTTTGTCTTGCAAACTCAACTCCAATTTCAACTTTCTTATCAATTGTGCCTTTTATATCAACTGTTTTGATTAGAATAAAAAGCTTTATTTTGGAACCGATTGTGTTTGAAGGCAATTGGCGGACAATTTTGGAGGATAAAACATGTTCGTCACTCTGTAGAAAAAAAACACACAAGTCAAAAATCACAATATGAAAGTGACAAAAAATTTGATGCACCTAATGAAACAACTAAATCTCCAAATTCAATCCACCTTCCTTTACAAAATGGAACATCTGGCTCTTAACAATTCTCTCTTTCAAACAAATTTTAACCATACACTTTAATTTTTCAACATTGTTATACGGATGGAGTATTCCGTAAAGTCAAGTCACGACTTTAATTAGGGAACGGAGTATCGGATTTCATTAATAAGCGTTACTTTCCTATAAATGTAGTGCGTGCGGAGTATAATACCTACCGAGTATATTGAGATGAGTAGATGTTAAGCCCCATCAAACATCTATACAATGCTCATGGCCTTACAACACCAACCACACCACTTGCCAGTTATTCACAACCAGGTGAGACCTCTCAAACTTCCAAAAAAAAAACTTTATATTATATAACAATGTACAATATTAATATCACAGGGTACCTCTTGACCTCAAGTATTTGCAGTTCCCTCTTTGTTGAAAGAAAAAGTCAACTTCTTGTGAACCATTTCCACATTCTGTTGCCAAAAAAATGTTGCCGCATGTCAGTATATGTGGGTGGGCATTATATTGTGCATTCTATTAACTGAAAAAAGAAGCAAGTGTGATATCCGATTTGCATTTTTATTCTTAAAAAAAAAACAGCATCAGAAACCAGTGGTAGCCATGAATGCTGAAATTAAAACAGCATACCGGGGACTAAGTAAGATCAAGCATGAGAAACCAGTGTGAGCCATGAATGCTGAAACTAATCATGTTACAGAGGGTTTGGGTTTCATATTTTGTTGACCGCTCGTCTTGCGCATTTGAAGATTCTCTATAGAATAAACAAGAAGATTCCCTTCTTTTGTCCCAGCTATGAAGCAATCTTCAGGTGTCACGGTCAGTGAAGTTACTGATTTGCCTATCCCATTGTACCTTTTAACAATTCCCAGGGAGCTCATTGATCGCACGATAATTTGACCTTGGTCACCCGCACAAACCAAGAACTCGCCACACCCGCTAAGCTCAAGACAGTTTAGGCGGCCATTGGATTCGCAAGATCCGATGTGTTTCCCGTTGATGGAGTACAGATGCAAACTAAGATCTTCATCAGAGTAAAGAACGATTTGTCCGTGACGAGAAACAACAAGCTTCGACAACGGGCTGCCAGCTGGATGCCTAATGGATCTTACATATCTACCATCACGCAGAGTATGGAAGACACAAGTTCCATCTTTTGATCCACTAATAACAACATCAAGCTCCATACTTGCATGTAAGCAAGTGATTACATCATCATGCCCGCAGAGTATGTGAAATGGACTCTCAGCAATGACGCGATGAACCTCTTGCTGAGTATGCTTAACTCTCTTGTCAGAAGGTTTTCCCCGAGAAATTTCCCAAACCATAACTGTTGTGTCATAACTCCCAGTGGCAAGGATGCTTCTGTCTGATGTCACTGCAAGGAATTTTTATGTATATTACTCAATGCAACATCCTACAGAAAAAAATTAAGTGGCAAACGCCTAATGCTAATTTGGGTAATGAAAATGTGTGAAAAGGGAAACATCAATGATTTTTATGCTGGCGATCCTGGTATAAGATGCCGTTCCATATCCAGTGCAGCAATATAAGCACAGGTTGCAAAATCATAATTGCATATTTGCATCCAGGGCATCTCATTCTCAACCCACATTAGTTATTACCGAAAAAGTCCTAAATAAGCCCTTGAAGCAGTGCTATTCAGTAATAACTATTTACCATCCTGCAACACGTTTTTTAACTGATATTGACACTAATTAGGATTTAGGACATAATCTGCTCCACATAAATTATTAAAGTTGATGCAAGGACTATGTAATATATATGCATAGCACCTAATATAATATTGGCATACATTTCAGTTAGTCCCAAAATAGGTTAATTTCAAAAGACTCGCTTGAAAGTCTACATAAAGACTTGTTTCATCTTTCACTAGGCAATGTGATGATAAGAGTTGGCAATAATGAGAAACAGCCATTGAAGCAGCAGATCCTAACACATGAGGGTGAAGCTTTACCTGAAATGCAGCTAACAACATCTTTATGATGTCTAATGCTCTGCACTATTCTTCCATCGGTTAATGATATCACCTGAAAGCTATTTTCCCAGGTACCACATGATATTAAATAGTTCTCAAATGGTGTTTGTAATGTTGAAAAACACTGTGCACCAAGTTCAATATTTTCTGCCAGAGGACTCCCAATTTTCCGATGAGAGAGGATATCAGATCCAATGCCAAAGAAAGGATCCTGAAAATAATAATTTAAGAAACTGTAAAACTGACTCCTGATAATTATTGTGACCTAATAACATGGATCAAAATATAGCACCTGTGAACCCGAGAAGGTGAAGTTCCCACCAGACTGCAATTGAGTTGTTAACCACGTCTTAACAGACATGGTGAGACCTTGGTTCACGTGGACAATGCTAGAATCAAACACATTAACATACAACACTGTTAATGGTAAATTATTAGTACTTGAAACGATTGAGGTCAAATTGATAGAACCAGGTGCGTATCGCAAAGGATGTGCTATAGGTATGGGTGGGCCTCTTCTAGGGTGTCTCTTTTGGAAAATCTGAATAGGTGTTTGGCCAAAATTAGCAATTTGATCTTCAATTGCGGATCTCTGCAACTCATCTTCCATTGTCTCCAGATCAACAGCGCCTTCATATGTTAAATAGTAAAAAATGTTTGCTGCCTGTATGATGTTATAAATAATTTGGTGAGATCAAACAAGTCACATCACTAGATCGCCACACTAAAAGATTTTAATTACCTCAACTGCTTGTTTACCGCGCTGTTTATAACCAAAGATCAAATCGATCCAATGGTGAAGGTTTGAGCTAACATATTCACTTTCAAGGGCCTCCCTATGCTTGCTTATGAATTCTTCTGGAGAACCCTGTATGGTGTATACAGATTTTAAACTCAGTGTTTTGCATTTTACCAGCTAAACAGAAGAGAGAAACCAAAGAGTAGAAGCACACAGACTGTCATCATTCAAAGAAAGAAAGAAAAACAAGATAATCCAAAAGAATGGAGACACACAAAATTCTCAAAAGAAGTCTTCCATTCCAACAAACAAATTATGTCCAAAGATCAATAAATAAGTAGTTAGCATGTCAGTTCGGCCAGTACAGCAAGCTTTTTAGTCAAGAACAACACATCCTGTATAATCTCAACTACTTTGATTATTTATATATACATAGGTATGCGAGTGTGTGTGTGTGTGTATCGGGGCGGTTCTATTGAGTGTTGACACAGGGCCCGGTTGACACTACGGTGCCACAAGGGTTTTGGAGGACCGTACGTGCTACGTTTGCAAAATTGATATAGACACACACACACACACACAGATATATAGGCTTTTTGGGGAGACCATTGATGCATTGCCGCATTTACTCCCAAAAACTTTATTAAAACTTTAAACCAAGAAAAGTCTACAATTAAAGATATTAAAAACAAAATAATTTTGAAAAGATTAGTATGATGATATATACTTATTAATAATATACTTTGTATAACTCTATCAATTCAAGTTCAAAGATTTTTAACAATATCACTTATCAGAGTTATCACTGACAAAATAATTAAAATAAACAATTAAGCGTGTTACTAAAAGTTAACCACTGAAAAGGAATGTGTATCTAACAAAACGGGACAGGAAGTACAATACTATATGTCATTCAGAGTGTTCACTTATAACCTAGCAGAGTTGAAATCAGTCTTTTTGCTCATAACTTTCACTAATGGGCTTGAAATATGTTGATGAATACTTGAGTTACAAAATCCTTTTTTTACATCACAACTATTAGGAAGGGAGAGATTTAATACCTTAGCCCATTGAGGGAGAACAACATCACCTATTGGTTCTCCATCTTGTTTGGATCCGAAATGATATGTGTTTGAATTAACGAGGAACTCTGGCATGTAAAAAAATTCAGGTATCAATTCCTTGACATCACTTGTATTAGAAAGGCAATTCCTAAATGTGCCTTCTATGCCTTGGAAAAGTCTGTCAGCGTGATCAAACTTGCCACCCTATAATAGAAAAGGCCACACAAAAATGAAGGGTTGAGTATGTAAAAAGATAATTAGTCAAGATGCAAAAGGAACTACTTACAAAAAACAGGTAAAGAAATTATCAACACTGAAAACCCTTCAGACTTGGGTGTGCTAACTAGTCAATCAAAATACCCAGACAGATTGAAGACAATACTTTAAGGGATGGAAAAGAATCATTAGTCGTGCAACCAGTGAATTACCTGCAAATTACGATGGAGTGCTGTAAAAGGCTCCAATCTAAGAAGGTAGAAGAGCACAATTCCCATGCTAGAGTAATGAGAACCATAATAGAAACTGTCAAAGGAAGTTTCAAATATTAATACATGTTACAGAGTACAATATTTACCGGGTATATACAATTAAGATGTATTCTTATTACAAGGTGGTAATGCACAACACAAATACCTTAGATTACCTGGGAATATCAGGATCACAAAAGCTTCGATATCTGTCTTCAAAAACCTGCCAATCTAAATAGCATTAAAATCGTATGATACTACAGGTCTAAAGTCAAAAACTGAATTTTTGCAGCCCCACCCCCAAACACACACAAAAAAACTGAAACCACAGCCACACAAACAAATAAAATTGATGACCTCCAGTCGCTTTGGATCCAGTGCTCCAACTGGTTTTGAAAGATCCCTATAAGTAGATGACTTGTTCAAATCAAGAGTCTCTGAAGAATAATCAGACAATACCCAAGGAAACACAGGATACTGAGTTAAATCATTATAAGATCTTCCTGCGAGTGTGTTAAGAATCATCAAGTACTCAAAGTTTGTAATCTCTCTTCTCCTCCAACTTTCTCTAGCGATTTCTGCCATTTCTAACGCAACATGTCGATCAACAAAGGAAATAATGCTAGTCTTGTCCCTATATCCCTTGGGAAACATTGAATCATTTCTGTGAGTAATGATCAAGCTGCCAACATCCTTTGCATCCTTCTGTGTTGCAAAATTTAAAAACACTGGAGCAGTGGAGTCATTGAAGAAGATTTCAATCGCTGTGTATCTAAGCAGATATCTGGTCCAATGGACAGCTTTTACCTACAATTCGTGTGAACAGTCGGGTCAATGACTCATATATCAAATAGTTCAACACAACAGGGAGTGACTTTATACAACTAAGAAACTCAAGTTCCACTTTCCGGCGTAAACCCACCACCCACTTAAATGAATAAATAAATAAATAAATGAGGGCAATAATCAGAGATAACAGAAGCATCAAATAACAGCAGCTTTTATACCTTAGCTATGTTCCATCTTCTATGGCGCTTGATATTGTTAGGATTCTTTTGAGGAACATTTCCACACAATGCACTTATGCTATCAATAGCTTTTCCTCTTTCAGAATCAAGATCAAGGCTGCCAGGCCACTTGAGAAGTTTCTGCTTCTGGCATCCACCTTCGGGATCAGCCTTGCTCAGATCAAGCACACCTGAAGAGTCAATGTTTTTAAAAGCAGAAAATCCTCCAGTACCTTCCACTAAAAATTCACCAGAGAAATGCAAGAATTTCTTCATGACAGTCAGATGTCCAGCTAATTTTCTCTTTGGTGCAACTAGAACACAGTGGACCGACAAGAGAACCTGAAATTGTTGAAACACGCGCAATGGTAATTCAATCAAAACTAGATACATTTTCCTGCATGCATTTCTTATTTATACCTCACTATTTTCTGTTTCTGCAGATGAAGAAAGGCAGTCTTTTCTGTCCTGAGCAACGTCTGTTTGGTCATCGATCTCTCTGACACCCTCAGAGGACCGCTTATCAGTTGAATCATGAGAAGCAGAGACCCCATGGCCACTACATTCCGCATCACTTTCACTTAATTCTGTAGAACCCTCGTCCGTAATCTTGTGAATCCCTTTCAGCAAAAACCGCTTCATCTGCTCTGGAATATTGGCTCCAAAACCATATTTTCCATCATTGGCAGCAAGAGAAGGGGCTTCAGTAGGTATAGCAGAGAGAGGAAGACATAGCTTTCCATCAAAATGATAATTCCGTCTCAATTTCTGCCGGCGACGCCATGCATCTTCTGTCTTATCAAGTTTCCAGAATGTTGTAATATTATTTGGAAATGGATTAGCAGACCATGGACCCCTCTCATCAATTAGAGAGCGAAAAGTGTGAATCCACTTTCCCTGTTTAAAAAAGGTGGTATATAAGAAAATAGCCATGTAAATGAGCACAATTCAATATAGATTGGAGCTTAGGATATAACTACTTGCAAATATCGCAACCAATTTCCATCTCACAATTATGTCTAGGTAAGAGTGGTGGAACCCAAATTGAATATTTGAAACAAATTTCATGTCGCTGAATCCAGCATAGTTGGAATAGAGGTGATGATGAATGCAATAAAAATTAATGATAAATTGAATACTTACAGCAACTACTTGCTGCTCCTCATCTATAGAAAGCCTGGAAGAATCTCTTCTTTTGTTGTCTGAGGCAAGAATGGATATTAAACTGTAATGAATTTCATCTCGGAATGCTTTCTTTTGATCAGAATCAATGATGACCAGTTCATCTAGCCGAAGATGAAGCTCATGTAATTGACTGGTCCTATCAGCTCCCGAGTTCTTAATATATTTTACTTCATCAGAAAACTGGATAGGATAACATAAAAACAGTCAGTAGCATCCCACAAGTGGGGTTTGAAAAAATATATCAAAGCAACAGAAGAATTAAATACAATGTTATTTAAACTTGATCCCAACCGTGAAATTGTAAAATAATACAAGGCATCACATGAGTCACAACATAGAAGGGTAGTGTATAGAGAAGAAAACTCATACTCCGTATGAAACAGAATACCCAACCACATGACTCACCGCAGAAAGTACTCGATCCTTTTGGATCAGGTTATGAATGGAACTTCCTTCCTTACCATAGCTGCTTGAATCGGCAGAATCCTCTCTGCCAGCAATACTTGTAGCTAACATTATCTTTCCACTATTTACTGTTTCACGAATTAAATGAGCAATAACATGAAATCTAGCACCATCATCGAGCATCCCATAATGTGATCTAACAGCAAGCAAGGCCCTGTATATATTCAATTACATGTCACATGTTCTGAAAATAGTTATCTATGGATGTGTTGCTATAACAATAAAAGAACCAAGGTCAAAGTTCCCTTAAAATGGTAGACAACAGTACCATATGAAGAGTTGCAACCGGTTCTTGCTTTGCTCATCATCAGCAGTAAGAAGACAAGGCAGAAGGGGGATAAGCTGTTGCACGCATCGAGATGCTCTTTCAAGGGATGACTTACAAAGATACAGAATCACCAGTCGAAAAATAATTCTTGGACATTTCTCCCCTCTTAACACCATAGCTTTGTCAATAGGTTTATTTGGTCTTCCAGTCAAAGCATTGCTAATTCCACCTGATACAACAACAGCAGCCATTTCAGCTGCGGGAATATTTAGTGATTCAACCAAACCAAGAGCTCTTTGTCCAAGGGATGTAATTGTAGTTGGGGAAGGCTTTGGTAGCGTCTTATTTGGTCCCTTGCCATGTATTGCACTAATAATATTCCATAGGTTATCATATAAACTCCACCATTCTTCATCGATTTTCTCCTCTTCTTCTGTGGCAGACAGCTTCTGAACCCCCATACTCCTGGGAGGTGTTCATTAACAATAAGTCAGTAACACATGAATGTGACAACAACAACAACAACAATATATAGACAGAAAATTTAATCAATCTGTAAAATCATCAGACGGGAAATCGTGAAAAGTAAAGCTATTGGGTTAAATACTTAAATCATAGTAGATATACCTTGATAATTTCTCGTCGGATTCTCCTTGCAATGCCTCAGATAAGGCAGAATCAAGGTCTTTGAGGTTTTCTAGTTCTAAGAACTCAGTTGAAAAGTTTGTGCCGCTTGCTGGAAACTGTAATCCAATATCAGAAAGTTAATATGCATATATGTATTATACGCGTACATACAGACCCCNCAACTGCACCCTGCATCTGTCACAGCATATAATATAAATAATCCAACTCAAGGCATGCTCTTTGTTATCGGCCCAATCAATGGATGAGTAAAAACCAGCAAAAACGGTGTTAGAGATTATCTTACATTCAAAATCCAAGAGTAAAATAATCGGTATATAAGCTCTTGAGTTGAACTAACTAATCGATTGGGTTCAATCTTTTAATGTGGTTCAACTCAAGTGTCCTATGGCCCAGTCCAGTAACCCTTTCCCCATCCTAAATTTTGTCATGGTATCGAAGCAGGTTTTGGCCCACATCGTTTGTCAAGGTGTCCGTCTAGACATTCCTTCCTAGCGGCCCATTTGTCTTTAGCCCAATTGTCCGTATACATATACCGAACGGCATGTGGCCCATTTAACCCGATTGTTCATCTGGAAGTCCATACCCAGCGCCCCGGGATCCTTTATGTGTTGCTGCTCAAATATTTATTTAACGAGGATGGGATTATATTTACAAGTGGTCAACCGGTAAGATTAAAAGGGCTCAGTTGTCCACTAGAGGGGGAGTGTTAGAGATTATCACACATTGGAAATCCAAGAGTAAAATAATTGGTATATAGGCTATTGAGTTGAACTAACTAATCGATTGGGTTCAATCTTTTAATGTGGTTCAACTCAAGTGTCTTATGGCCCAGTCCAGTAACCCTTTCCCCGTCCTAAATTCTATCAAACGGAAATATGTTAAGTAACTAGACTAAATAATACAAGCCACATAATTTTAGCATAGTAGTATACCGGAAGTTTAAATTTTATTTCTGAGAGAAGCTTCTCATCAACTAGTTTCAGAAGATACAACATATTGTCCCGGCAAGGCTGTGTCACAAGTGTATTTTCCGCATCAGAAAAATTCAACAGTTTCTGGATTAAGTCCTCATAGAGATCCCGAAGGAAATACTGATATGAGAGGCAACCCTAAAGAAACAAGACAAGTACATTATTCCAAAAGCAAGTTGTGGCAAGTTACTCCATGTTATTCAGAAGAGTTAAAAGCATACTTGTTCACAATGAAGAAGTATAAAATTCGCAGTCTCCTCTAAGTGTTGCCAGCCTCCCTTGACAGAATGCATGCAATGGCAAAGGACAACACAATACAAACTCCTAATAAAGTTTTGTTCACTGATCTCAAAGCCACTGTGAGTATGTGTCTTTAGTTTGTAGCTCCTCAATGCCTTCAGCCTCAAAGAAGAATCCAGCCATGTGTTCCAACCATGCTCCTAAAATAAGTATACCATTGGAGCTTTGATGTTTAAATTGATTATACAAAATTGAGTAAATAATAGATCAAAAGAAGCAGTTTCCGTGATCTGTCGGATAATATCTATACCATTAGAGCTTCTATGTTTGAAGGATTTGAATCCAGAAGATCAAGTAAATCGCTAATGATTTTAATTCTTGTTTTACCATCATCACAATTTGCCAAAAATCTGAAAATGAGGGCTAAGATTTGAGGAAGAAAGAATTGTGAGTTACTCCTGGGACGGTCAGGTTGGTTATGCTTTTGTAGAACCTGTGAAACAAAATTATTTGCATCTATGAGTCTTGCAGCATGCAAATTCACTATTCAATGAATACTCACATACGATTATATGAATGAGTGATAAAAGCAAAAACATGGTAAATTTACATTAGAAAGCAAAACTAAAGATTGTGAGTATTCATGTAGACGTAGCCTCTTCCTTGAAAGGATCTTTGATTTAAAACGCAAGAAATGAAAATTTTAAATTACCACCTGTTTAGGGCTTGCACCTCCAAGAAGAACATCAAACAATGTTGCACACAAAAGATCCGTCTGAGGAAACTTGAACAGGTGGTCTGACATTATTGAGAAAATGGGTTGCATCCTTGATGTGCCTTTCTTGTGGCTGTCTAAAATATATTTAGGCTTTCCTACGGAAATACTAAAAAACTTTGATCCTTTCTTCTCTGATGGAAGACCAACGAGCAGTCTACCAAGGAACTGTAAACTGAGCAATCTGATAGGCTCAAAATCCCTGCAACAAGTAAAAGAGTAGAGAAAAAAACATTGCAAATGCTGTCATGCTGATACATTCAGGTGCAAATACACAGAAGCACATATAGTGGGGGTGGATTAGGAGATCAGCAATGGTGGTAACGGAAAAACTAATGGATCTTTTGACTCTTTTATAGGGAATATGGAGAACTGAAGAACTCGCAACTCTATTCCTTCACAACCTACCACAGTCCAGAATTGTGAAGGTGTTGCGCACTCCAACACATCCCTCCAGCTTTTATTTACTTTTTTCCCCAAGTTATTGCCAATTTAATGTATAAAATTTGGAGGTCAAATATTTAAGTTGTAAGATAATGCTCCCTCCATCCCATAAAATTGGATCTCTTTAATTTGGAGGTCAAACTTTTTTCCCTCCAGCTTCTATTTACTTTTTGTTTCTGGATGTCCCAAAAAAAAGTTCACACTGCTACTTTTTTCCTTTTAAGTGGCTCACAACATTTCTCTATCTATCAAACAAGTTCCAACTACTCACTTTTCATTTTTCAACGCTTCTCTAAAACTCTGTGAAATCATATAGATAACTTCTTTACGCAACAGAGTATAACTTGAGTATCGAGTTATAAGGGGTGTTAATTGTAGATGAGTGCATATCTAGGCCCTTGTAGAGGTTTGTTTAATTGTGTGTGTGCATGTTTTTACCCTTTCTTTTTTTAAACTGGTTATTTTACCCTACTGTTCATATTTATATTTGATTGCTCTAACCCATTAAATGTTTTCTTGAGCTGAGGGTCCATAAACAACATTACTACCTTTATAAGGGTGAGGTTTGTACACACCCATCCTCACCCACCCCGATTGTAGAACCTTACTGAGTTGTTCTTATAAGTTTAACTTTTGTCCCTAAAGGGGATAAGTTTTGATAACTTGGATCGATCATTCAGGCGGATAGGGAGATCTATGGGGGAATTGGGGATGTTGTTAATCGTATTAAAGCGGATTGGATGAAGTTGAAGATTGCTTCAGGTGTCCTATGTGAGTCATGTGACAAGAGGATATCAATGAAGCTAAAAGACATGTTTTAAGGGGTGGTCAGACCGGCTATGTTGTAGAGGGCAAAGTGCTGGCGGTGAAGAACACTCTCATTTAGAAGCTTCGAGTAGCAAAGATGAAATACACTCATGACTCGCCCTCCCCGGACCAAAAAGAAAAACATGCTTCAAAAATTGGGACAGTGGAGTATGATCTATTTTGTGTGATCCTTAGAAGTATTCAAAGCAAAAAAAACTTCTAAATCAAAGATGAAAAATTACAGTCTCCTAGTGACATGGGAATATGTGTTTAAGCTAATTGTAGGAAAAATAGTGGAAACTCATCTTAGGTGGTTTGGACATGTGGAGAGAAGACCAATAGAGCATCCCGTGAGAAGGGTTGATCAAATGGTGTCTATGCATGTGGCTGGAGGAAGAGGTAGACCTAAGAGGACTTGGCAAGCATTGATCAAGGGAGACCTTCGCGTGAACAATCTCACAGCAGATATGATACACGATAGGGCGCAATGGCGTCATTTGATCCATGTAGCCGACCCCACCTAGTGGGATAAAGCTTTGTTGTTGTATGCTATCCAAGATAAATGCACAATTTCATTCTTAAGTATGAGATGCATAGATAAGATGAGAAAGGAGAAATTCCAAAATGGACATTAGCCAAAAGGAAAAAAATACAAAGGCAGGATCAAAGTTGAGAGAGAGAGAGAGGAGCTTCTGCTCCTTAGTCTTCAGTGCTAAATATCTGACAAGTGCAACCAACTCTAAGGATTATAGCAAGAGCATTTGAAGAAAAAGGCAAATGGTAAATGGCAGATAGAAGAAATACCTTTGGAGAAGATTGACAAAAATGTGACATCCACCAATCAAATTGACCTGCTCCAGAAATGAAGCAAGAAGTGGCTTTTGTGATACACCACGAATAATCATATGTAGAACATCTTCAATGCATGACATGTCCTGACTGCCCTCAAAAAATGTGATAAGAGCATTTATATCTGATACTGAAATATGCTCCCTGCACAGTCAAACACATTTCAAAGAGAGAACAAGCAATTAAAATGATCAACTGAACCATGAAAAGGATTGCAATTGGGTAAAATAGATTAAAGGAAAGCATAACTCCCTTTTAATAAAAGAAAAAAAATTATTTTACCTGAGACTCATCTCGCCAAGGCTCAATAAAAGGAGACGAATTTTGTGTATTTCATCTTTGGTGGGTCTTTCTGCTATAACTGACCGTGGTAAAGCTAGAAGCGGTTTGTTTCCAAAAGCAGAACTCTTTTTTACATCATTGCAGTAAAACTGTTGTATTATATCAAGAACACGAGGGAGCCTACATAGACTTGTTAGCAACCTTGGATCATTATCGAACTGCTGAACAAGAAACATATATAGCTCACGCTGCACCTTGTAAACTGAGTGCACCCAGATAAGTGGATTAAGTAATATATTTGATATAGCATCCTTCACAAGCATATCTGACAAGCCTGCAACAAATAATAGATTGTTCAAAAGCAGAACAAAACATCAGCAAAGAAAGCATGAGAGTAACAAAACGATCATATAATTAAAAACTTAACATACAAAACTGAAATCAAGCAACGCACCACTATTTGAAACCACATTCAATAAATGTTTTAGAGCCGAAAGTGTTTCCAAATTGAGCTGTTGAGGTGGAACAGATTGAAGTAAAAACCCCAATATTGAAAATCCGGAGAGTAGAAGCATCTGTTGTTGATTGGCTAAATTGTCATCTAAAACAGATGCTATAAGCTCAATAACTTCAGCAGTCAAACGTTCTCTTGTAACCGGAGTTAGCAATGTCTGACACACTGGCTGATTGTCTTCATCTTCATACAGCTCAGTCTGTGTGAACAGAGGAAAGAAAACTGATACCCCACCTACACAGTATATAATCTGTTGTAGCAACCGACGAGAACATAGTTGTGTCCCAGAAGACACAATTGCTTCAAACGGACTCTTATCTGCCCCAACATCCAAGGTTGGTGAAACATTTAACAGCATCCTACCTTTACTTGCCTGATAAGGAAAAGGTAAGTGACAGACAAGAGAAATATACCGGAGTAATTTGAAGTGTCATATTTCTAAAAGCAGAGAGAGAACCTGTGCATTAAGCCCAAAGATAATTTTGGATGAAAGGCCATCCTTCACATCAAGGACTCCATTGCTATATGGATTTCCCAAACCAATTGCAACTTCACTGTCAAGGAAGGAGTACATGTAGCTTGGCCCTAGGGAATAAACAAGTTTCACTTGTTCAGAAGTAATAGAATCATTGAACAGGTAAACTGGACCAATCTGGCCAAAAAATGGGGATGAATCTTTGATCGAGAGCATAGAATTCTCCTCGCAATAAGGAAAAGATAATTTTGTGCCAATGGTGCAATAAGTCAAATGCTCGTTGATTTTTGCATATCTGCATTTAGACAAAAATTCCATGTCAAACTTAAAAGGAAATAAGTGCAAACTATCCAATACTCTCTCCTATGATTTTTTAAAGAGCTTAGAACCCAACAAAAAGGAATCAAGAATAATAAAAAAACCTGCATTTCTCAGATGACGCAAGAACTCCATCCAAATAACATTTTAATTGGCTGCCCCCAGAAAACGCCCTACCAATGGTATGGGTGATACACAAAAAATGCCACTTTTTCGTAGCGATGTTCACATGAAGATAGACACACTGTCGCTTCTGATTTATTGACTGCAAGAGATTATAAAAACTATTAATTGTTGAAACTATCAAGAGATAGTAAGAGAGAGAGAAACATGTGATATACTCCCCCTGTTTCATAATAATACTCATGTTTGTGCTAGTGTGGACTTTAAGAGAAGGTAGGGAGAGAGAAGAAAAGGATGAATGAGAAATAAAAAGGTGAGGCGAGAAAAGACAAGATGAAGCGAGAAATGGAAAATGTGAGGGGAAAATAGTAGGTTTAGATTTTTTTAAAAAAAAGGTGGGGTGTGGTGAAAGGTTTATAGATATACATTTTACCTCATAGGTTAACCTGTCCTTTGTGAGGACAGCAATGCATCCTCTTCCACTTTCGGTGAGAAAATTGAAAAGTCCCATAGTCCCACTTGTGGGAAAGCTTTCTACCCTTAGCCAACAAGTGAAGGAAAATCCTTTACTCAAAGGACACTGAACTGGGGTTTTTATTGATATTCCCTGCAGGAGACATTAAGATGATAACGAAAGAAGCATTGGGAAGATAGCATGATATACAGTCAAACAAAATGTGCAAAGTGGAAGTCGCAAAATAAAACAAGAAATAAAAGAGAAAGAGGAATAGCTTGTTGTTCTCAATAACGCTCAGTACTTCACACAAAGAATGAGAAAAGCAACCAAATGAAATAATATATGTTTGCTATGATGGGGCAATTTGAACTTACAGAGTCCACGCCATTAAGATCAAAAAAGGCAGTTGGTCCTTTCTCATTTAGCATTGACAACACACTGGTTAATAGCAATGAACAATATTGCTTATGAGATCCAACTTTGTCACTTCGAAGTAGAGCAAATATTTTACGGATGTCCTTCCCTGAAATGCTATGGCCCCCAATGACCTGAATCAATAGGGCAATTTTCAGGATTACACCGTCATTGTCTTCAAGCGCAAACCAATCAAGAAGGAAGTTAAGCATCTCTGCTCTAACACAAGAAGCTCGGTTGGATATTGAATCCCTTAGAAGATGAAGAAAAACATTTAACCCATATTGCTGCAACGACCCACTGCTCTGGCCAGTCATGAAACGCAAGAAATTGAGTCAATACTATTTAAACTAAATAAATAGATACTTTAAGCAGTAAGAGTTAGAATGATAAACATTCAAATGCCTGCAAGTGAGCAGTGAAAAAGTCAAAGCATCAAACGTCATCGTAAATTACTAACCTTCTGCAGAACACTCATATAGAGCAAAATGACATCTTCATTCTGAATCCAATAGTATAACAGATTAGATATAGCATATGAGAAGTTTTTTTTTGGCAAAACAACTATAAAAGAAGACTAATATCCCATTGTCAATACATCTAAATAAGAGCCATCACTCACTTTAATCACAGGGCTTGCCTTGGGATCAAACTTCCCATCGACCAACATATCGAGCAAGGCATTCAAAAGTGCATCACTTGGTTGCCATTGGCAAAAGTCCAACAGTATGCTTCGTAATGTCTGATAACCCACACCGGCAAGTGATCTAAATGCAGCCTGCAGATGACAAAAAGCAAAGCTTAATGTGAATAAGCCATGTATGCAAACAATACCAAGCATATACAGACATGAACTGCAAAGATGTGGTCGCCAAAGCCAAAATGCATTGCAAATATAGTAAAATCATAGCATTCTATATACATCACTGACAAATTATTAATAAGCTAGCAATAGCTCTTCAGGCCTTCACAAATAACTTAAAAAGTGGTATGGAGAAGAGCATGTGTCATCAATTAAAAATCATGGATTCTCACACATGAATACTGCACGCTACAGATAGTTCTTGAGCATGAAGAGTCGTGCCTAACTCTTTCAATTTTCAAATATTCACATGCCCGGGGTCATGGTTATTAAGTGAAGTAGAATGATGTTAAGTTTCACTGGTTAGAACTACTGTGATAGTTGAGCAGAAAAATGGGTTATTTGAGTGATCCCATGAAGCTGAGTGATGGCACTATAAAAAAAACTATAGCAACGGAAAGGCACAAACTTGCTTTATTCAAATAACACTTCAGCAGCTAGTACCATCGGGAGTATGAAACAATCAAAAAATGAAATCTAAGAATTAGATTTGAGGAAAGAACAAACAGGTACCTTTGAGGAATCATTCCTTGAAAGCAAGCAGGTCAGTGTTTGGAGGACATTTAGAACCAGCTTCTCACCGTCTTTCACATCAAGGTTCCCATTGAGCAAAGAGACCACATGTATGAAACACTCGCCATCACAGAATAAAGCCTGATAGTACTGGCAAGAAAGTAACCATGTTATGTGCCAATGTAAAATAGAGTTTGGATATCTATGTTACCGAATGCAAAATAATTCATGCAACCATGCTGGTATTCTGGTAAATTACCTCCTGATCAGTTGAGAGCAAATCTTTCATCCCAACAAGCAAGTCAGTAGATAATTCTACAAAGTTCTCATGTTCCTTTACATGTGTGAATGTCTCTAAATACTTCGAACATAAATAAAGTTTTGCCTTGTGGTCTTCCTCGGATATTGAGATAATCTGTGCCCAAAATAAAGTCAAAAATAGAACAAAACACTGAACTAAAATAAGAAACATAGAACTATAGAAGTACCAAGGACAGTAACCTTCATCAGATCAAGAATATAAGAAAGCATGATGTTTCTCAGGCCTTCTTCCCAAAATAAATCAAACAAACGGTCAACACAAGCAGGACTATGCAACATTGAACTTTTTGCATCATCTATAACAGAAAAGTACGTTGTGAAGATTTCAATGCAAGTTGCCATGCTCATGTGCCAAGAGTGAGATGCCTCGGCAGAAATCGACATCTCTGGGTCAAAAGTTCCTATTTTGACCAGATTTGAATTCAAGTGAGGGCTTTCTACTGCAGGCCTCTTAGATTCATGAGCCTGTATGCATGCAATCTTAAGAACACGAGGAATTGCATCAAGTGTCTTGAACGAAGAAATAGATTTCTCGTAGGAAAGTTGCAATATTTGAAGCAGGCTCCGAGCAAGAGCATTAGCTATCCCAGGATTACAAGCACATTGTTCAAGTGCATCTAACAAAATTGAACACTCAGGCTGCCATAACAAAAATATATTAAATATAGCTAAAATATAATATGAGGGAATATAATAAGAGTTGGCAGAGACTGATCCACAGAAGATAAGCAATTGAACATCTCCCTTAAGCACTTTTTAACAGAAACACGTTTAATTTAATTCAACTGCGCATTATTTTCAACAAAACCAAATTTACATTCAACTGCACATTTTTTATACAGAATCAAGTTTTTTTTCTCATTTTTAAGTTTTGTCCATTGTGATACAGAGGTGACAAAAAGGTTTGCAATGCAAAAAACAGTTTATTGGACAAATATACTAGCCATTGTAGTTACCAAGCAACTAGAGCAAGAGAGGACAACAACTTTGGTATTACACAAACAGATTTACATGCCAAATTGGGTGCCCTACAAAGTTGCATAAAGTCATCACTCCAATGCTTGTTTCCTACTCCATATTGTAGATAACACTAGCATATAATGTACCTATGTAACTATATAGGCATATTGTAGCCCGAGCTCGTGATGCAGCCTATAATGTACCTATGTAACTATATAGGCATGTTTATTACGTTCAGAATATATGCATTATATGGAGTAACATTTTTTAATAGAATCATTATATTCTTGCTTTAGCTGCTTTGTGGGAATGTGTGGCATGATAGCGTGTGTATGGGTGTGTTAGCTTCTGCTCCGCAAACCTGAGATTTAATTAGACTTAGAGAGAGATAGAGAGAGAGAGAGAGAGAGAAGGAGAATTCGAAAAAACGAACCAAGTTGTGTGAACTTCCAATTGAAGTTGCCACAAATTCCATGAATGAAATCACTTCTCTCTGAATAGCTTCAGCTTCATTAAGACTTATAGGACTACGAGAGCAATTTGAAGCATGCCTTTGGTCATTGATGGCCAATGAAATTTCGTAGCTGGAACCATGATGACCAGAAAATTCCCCGGATGGAGGCTCAAAATAAAAAAAGTTTTCGGAGAAGAGGAAGTCCCAGGCTCCTTCGGCTCGGAATATGTCAACTAGTGACGATGAAAAAGTCAGTGTTTTCTTGATTGCAGAGAGAACACAACGCTGAAGCACATAGATGAAAACCCTGTACAAATCAGCTATTAGTAAGACTAGAGATGGGAAAGGGAAAAAAGACTAGCAAGTAGCAATCAATAACACAAAGGAAAAAGCAATTGGCAAAGTTTATGGATGCAAACAATAGCCTCTATCAATGCAAACTTATGCCGTTAAAAATCAGCAGATATCAATAAATTTAGGTAGAGAAAATAAAAGGATCCCACTCTCCTTGATTTACCTTAAATGGTTGGGCAGCTCCTTTTCATTAGAGCAAGCTTTTATGCACGGAAAAACTATAAGAAGCACTCTAATGACCCACTTTACAGAAAGTTCGACATAAGCTGAGGACAGTGGCAGGTTACTTCTTTGAGTTGATTGAAACTTATATGGTTTACTATCTCCTGACGCAAGCAGAAAAGAAAAAAGAACAGTGCTCAACTTGGCAACATAATTTTTCCAACTACACAAATGAGATAGCTTGACTCGAACTGTGGATGCATCCATTTTCCCTTCATCTTTAGTAGAGATTGTACTACTGTCATCGAAATCGTCTGGTTGTTCATCATCATCCATTTTGATTTTTTGAAGTGTGAATGCAAGTGAACAAAAGCTATTCGCAAACTTGTGCACCCTTCCATTCTCCGATAGGAACTGCATGTTGTTTAAATTTCCAAAGCTACATTGGGTTAAGGGTATCAGTGATCCTTCGCACTGTTTAAATAGAATGGAAAAGCATAAAAATGAAGTGAATTGATGTTTATAAATTCCTCTTTACATCTGAATATCTCAATTAAAGGGGCGTTAACAGATAATAGCTGCAAGTTGAAGGGTTAAATCAATCATTTTGAATACAACTGTGGGTGTAAGAAGACTTCTAATGGTTGCACCCAAGAACTCCTCGTTGACTTCAAGCATTTCTAAGAGGAAGAGGAAAAAAAAGGATACACAGCCTCCCTAAGTACCTCCAATAGAAGAACATGGAGGTGGAAAACATCTGTTAGGAAGTTATTATTCCTGCAAGAAAACAATGCATAAATTATATACAAGATGTACAAATAGAGAAGAGAGATTGAAATATACATGTGGTACTAGTTCGTAATTATGGAAATCAACCAATGACCTATGTGAAAACTCACGGTTATAAATAGAATACTTCCTTACCTAGTAACGCCAGAACTTGAGAAATCATCTGGTAACAAAGCATTGTTTGATACAACTCCCAGCCCATCCAGAAGAGCTTCAAGGCCGCCAATACTTCGAAAATGGTTCTGACCCCGAGGATTATCAGATAGCGCTGATAGAAGAGTTCCAAGAACTAACCTTTGTAGTAAAATATCTGTTTGCTGTTCTTTCATATTCAACCTCCTCATGACACGCAACAGCTCTGAAATCAATTAAGTTATTCAAGTATTCAACCAAAAGAATTAAACAAGAGTGGTTCCCTACTGTTACATAACATATTAAGTCTTCAAATTGCCATTTGTCAAGTCCACAATGTTATACTCTACCAAACACTCACTCTACTATCTATTGTCATTAAGTACCTGTTAAGAGTATCCCACATCGGAAAAGTATGAGTAAAATAATCGGTATATAAGCTCTTGAGTTGAACTAACTAATCGATTGGATTCAATCTTTTAATGTGGTTTAACCCAAGTGCCTTATTACTCAATCCAGTTGTCCATACCCATCTCAAATTCTATCATGGTATCAGAGCAGGTCTTGGCCCACCTCATTTGTCAAGGTGTCCGTCTAGACGTTCATTCCTAGCGGCCCGTTTGTCTTTAGCCCAATTGTCCGTATGGAGTATGTACCCAACGGCCTGTGGCCTGTTTAACACGATTGCTCGTCTGGAAGTCCATACCCAGCGGCTCGTGGTCCTTTAGGTGTTGGCGCTCAAAAAAAATAAAGGGAATGGGAGTTCATTTGCAAGTGGTCAATCGGTTAGATTCAAAATGGCCCGGTTGTCCACTTGAGGGGGAGTGTTAAGAGTATCCCACATCGGAAAAGTGTGAGTAAAATAATCGGTATATAAGCTCTTGAGTTGAACTAACTAATCGATTGGATTCAATCTTTTAATGTGGTTTAACCCAAGTGTCTTATTACTCAATCCAGTTGTCCATACCCATCCCAAATTCTATCAGTACCCAAAGACGGTACTGAAAGAGCCAGTGGTTTATTGCAATTAAAATGATAGTGAACCCCCCCCCCCC